GGGTCTGGTTTTTGTTTTGGGACCGCAATGGGGAAAAATGCACTTTGCACAGAGGAAAGAAAAGGGCATTTGTGGCGTTTAATCCACGCCTGCTCCTCAGATGAAACTATTTTTGTGGCTCACAAGAGGTTTTGAGCAGCTGCTCGCAGCTTTATAGGGCTGCGGAGGACTCTTCGTCTATCCAATTAGCACGGTTTGTCTCTAGTCCCCTCCTGATGTCCCCCGAGAAAATCCTGAAATATCAGACGTGCAGGCACGGGGCGCCGTGGGCAGTGCGCACACAGGCACCATCCGGGCTCCCGGCCCAAGTGTCTGCTCAGGGGCAGAAATGCTGGGTCAAAATGGCTCTGTGTTGTCTGAGCCTCGTGCGAGTCGGACCCTGCTGCTCTGGGAAGGCTCTAAAGCCGCCTCTTGCTTGCAGATTTTAGGAGGAGAGGCTGGAAGGGAGCTTGGGTCGTCTTATTTTGCTGTGCCTCTTAGCTAGAGTTGTCTGCTGCTTCTTCCTGCAGCTTGGCGATTTGAAGGCAAATCACTGGGAAGGCAAATCACAAAAGCTGGGAAAACATACCCAGGAGGATGCTGAGGCTGTCCGGAACCACTCCAGCCCCACACCGGCCTGCGGATGGCCGCGGGCTCAATGGCGGTGTGTTGCCCGGCCCCTGGGAAGTGTTTTAGAGTGTAGGGCCTGCCCTTGCTCCTCCATTTGCTCATCCCAAAGCCTTTTGCCAACACAACTAAAGCCACTGATACCCTGTGCGCTATTCAATTAAACGAATGAATCCTATTAAAATGTTCTCCGCTCCTGTTTGTAAATAGGTGACTAAGAAACCTGCCTTCTCCTGCCGCTTCTGGGAAAGCGAGGTCTGGTAGCAAGGAAGGAGGTTAAGTTCTGGCTGGTCCACTTAATGTGAGGCAAGTTTTGGCACCCTGGTAAGCAGCAAAAAAGGAGGAGGAACCCTGGCCTGATGGCACAAATACATCCTCTTATTAGAGGTGGCTTCGAGCTCCTTTCATGTAGGTAATTACATCTGGCCATGGTTGACCTGAGCTGGATTTGAGCAAGGGGGTGTGAGGCTTGACGTGTGCTGGGAGTCTTGGGAGTGACCAAGCCCTGACCGCAGCGGCGTTAAAGCAATCTTGTAGGTGTTGCAAACAAGCTAGCGCGTCGCAGCGGTGGGGTGGGAGATGCGGGGAAGCTCTGAGCTTGCTTATAGCCTGGAGAACCCGGTGTCGGTGCTGAGCTCTGCTCAGCGTGGGTGGGAGCTGGGGTGGACCGATGTCTTGAAGCATTGTTGTTGCCAGGGCACTAACGCAGCTGATGCATTACAGCATTTATCATGCTGTACGTGACCTCCGTGAGCTGATGCCTGCTCGGTTGCTGTCCCCTGATTGCAGCGATGGTTTAGCTGCTTGCCAGACAGCACCAGCCTTTAAGGGCTTGTATTTCTGTATCCG